TATGCAGAACAGATCATCCAGGAGGCTGAGTTCCATGAGGAGGAATGTAGGATTGGAGGAAAACTCATCAACAGTCTGTGTTATGCAGATGACACAACCCTGCTTGTTGAAACTGAGGAGGAATTGAATCATGCGCTGCAGAAAGTCAAGGACTGCAGCCTTACATATAGATTCTAACTCAACATCATGAAAACAAAGATTCTTACCACTGGGCCAATTGACAGCATTATGAAAGAGGTGAAGAGATTGAGATTGTTAACAGCTTTAGTTTTCTTGACTCCATAATCAACACTCTTGGCACCAGCATCCAGGAAATTAAAAGATCTATAGCATTTGGAAAGTCTGTTGTCGGGGATCTCTGCAGAGTACTGAAGTGCAACAACATCAGTCTGGAGACTAAGGTATGCCTGATCCAGGACATAGTCTTTGCATCAGAAAACTGGACAATGACTAGGGATTTTTAAAAGAGAGTTGATGCCTTTAGTATGTGGTACTGGAGAAGAGGATTGAATATATTATAGACTTCCAGAAGAATGAACACATTCACCCTGGGGAGGGTGAAACCAGATTCCTCCTTGGAGCAAGGATTCTCAGGCTTTGTCTGACATACTTTGGGCATGTTATAATGAGGGACCAGTTCTTGGAGAGGGACAACATGCTTGGAAGGGCGGAGGGACAGTGCAAGAGAGGAAGACACTGGATGAGATGAATTGGTTCGGTGACTGGGTATGAGGGTATGTGTGTCAAAGACAATAAGGCTGGCACAGGATAAAGCAGGTTTCAGGGTCGCCATGGTTGCCATGAGTTGCACGTGACTTGACAACACATAACAACAACATATCCAAAATGAGGCAATCTTTCAGTCAGACAAATCAAGAGTTTCCTGTGTAACTTGAAATAAGAAAACTGAGTAGCAAGCTTGGATCCTTTAAGTTACTGGGAAAATAAACGTGAATTTGTCAAAGATTTTACTTTTATTTTATGCAAAACTAATACATAGAGAAACAGCAATCATTTGGGCAAATATATTTGAAGATAATTTTACAAAGTGTTATAAATTAAAGCTAGATAACGAACGAGGAAAAATTGATGCATTTGAATTATGAAGTTGGTGTGCAGTATTACATATGTCACAGTTTTCCACAAGAGCAAGCACATTTTCCTTGAAAGAAATACTTCCAGAAGTCTCATTAAAAATCAGGACGATGAGACTTCATCTCACGTACTTGGGATGTATTATTGAGAAGGACCAGTGTCTGGAGAAGGACATCATCCTTGGTAATGAAGAGAGACAATGAAAGAAAGGTAGACCCTCAAGAGGTGAATTGTCATGGTGGCTGCAATAATGTAATCAAACATAGCAATGATTGTGGAGATTGCTCAGATGAGACATCGCTTCTTTCTGTCATTATGGTGTTGCTATGATTGAAGGACTCAATGATTTCATCTTGCTCAATCCACAGTTATCACCATTGGCACCAGCAGTCAGGAAATCAGAAGGCAAGTAGATTGGGAAAATCTGCTGTCAAGAAACTCTCCAGAATGCCGTCAGTCTAGAGACTCAACTGCACATGATCCAGGCCTTGGTCTTCTTAGTTGCTTGCTATGCATTGGGGAGCTAGACAATGACTAAGGATGATAGAAAAATTGATGCCTTTGAGTGTGGTAATGGAGCAGAATATTGAACATACCGTGGACCACCAAGAGAACAAACAGATCTATCTTGCAGAGAATAAAACCAGATTGCTCCATAGAAGCATGGATTTTGAAACTGTCTCACATTCTTCAAGCTTGTTGCCAGGAGGGACCAGTACTTAGAGAAGGTCATCATGCTTCAAAGGGCAGAGGGTCAGCATAGGAGAGAGAGAGACCCTACATGAGATGAAATGACACAGTGACTGTGGCAATGGGGTCAGCTTTGTCAGAGATGATGAGATTGCTTCAGGATAGGACAAGTTTCATCGCTGTAGTTCATAGGGCCATTATGAATCTCAATGACACATAACAACAAGGATGCACAAACAACATTGGCACAAAACAACAAGAGAGCCTGATTCCTGGGGACCTCTTCTATAGGATGGCACCAGGGCCAAGCTGGGGGACCTGTGAGGTCAGGAGCTCTATGCGCCACAGCATGAGGGTGCTTGTGTATCAATAAGTCACCCACACAAATGTGCTGATTAACTTATTGATCCTTATCTTGAGGGTGAAAAAATTAGAAAATAAAATGTTATTCTGTATTCAAAACAAAAACAAAAAAAATAGAAAAAAAGAAGTAGATCCTGAACAGAAATTCACTTTTATGGTGCTTAATACCAGTGGCCTTGATAATATGTTATAAAACTTTTCTTTGCCAAAACCAAACTCTGTCTTTTTTAAAACCCATACTCTTATTAGGTTTCTTCATTTTGGGCAGGATCAATTTGTGGACATCTTTGTAGATGTATTGGTAACAGCTCACATGATAATCCAACCATTTTTATTAACTTGAATAAAAACTGTGAGGGGAGAATGCAACCAGGGAGAAAGTGCTCCCTAGAGACAAGGCTGATGAAACTTGGTTTCACAAACTGTGAACATGTGATGAGGAGCAAGCTAGTCCTTCAAAAAGACATCATGCTGGGAAAGGTAGAGAGTTAGCAAGAGAGAGGAAGACGCTCACCTGGATAGACTGACGCAGCGACTGGACCAGTGGGCCCCAAAAGGAAGGTATCATGAAGATGGCACACAGCAGGGCAGAGTTTGATCTGGTGGGTCTTCAGTTAGCTCTGACTAGTAGTCAACTCAACAACGCTAACAACAACATTCACTTGAGGTTGAAATATCCTATTACTTCATACTTTTAGTTAACGCTCTGAGTAGTAAACTCAACAACGCTAGCAACAACATTCACTTGAGGTTGAAATATCCTATTACTTTATACTTTCAGTTAACATCTTACTCTTCTTACTCTTCTCATTTATTTTACTTATCCCAAAGGTGCACGTTTTGAAACCACCAGACGCTCTGCTGAAGGAGGGACAATCTCCTTCTGTACCAGTGAGACCCGATTTGACAGTACCCCCACACACAAATAATAAGATAAAATAAAAAAAATTAAAAAGTTACCCCTTCTTCAAGCCAACGTTGCCACAATTTGTGCTGAATTTAAGGTGGTACAGAATTCATTGGGCCATTGTGGTAGTTTTCATGTTGTTGTAACAGAAAGTCCACCGCAATGAAGGGCTTTAGGAAAACACAAAATTCTTTTCTAAGAGTATAGAAGACTTGAAGTCAGATTTCGTGTTCTTACTCCAAGAGAAAGCTCTCTTTGATCCCTTTGAAGAGAGAAAATTGTTGGGTTCAGCTTTTCTTTGTTTCCTTTTGACTTGATCCCGTCTTCATTGATGCTGCTTTCTGAATGCCAGAGAGAAACATGGGAAGTCTCCTCCTATCAGGATTTACAGAAACCCAACAGAGGTCACTGTAAAACAGAGCTGCCTGACTTCTGGGGTTTTGGTTCTGTGCGCCTACTCTACTCTTTTTATAACTCAAAGATGATTGGCTTATTGTATACTCTATAATGTTATGGCCTCATTAACATAACAGACAAAAAATCTCTTCCCAAATGGTATTATATCCTTGGGTACTGGGGTATGAGAGTTTTAATACATATTTTTGGAAGGCATAGTTTAATCCATTAGTAAGAATAGTCCTTGCTCTCTAGTTGTATTTAAGGACTCATTCTGTTTGTATATAGTTAGAGGTGCAGACATTTCAGACATGCTTCTGAATCCAGGCCATGATCACCATTTTCACAGATCTTGTATTTCTCACTGAAATATGTGATATGTTTAAGATGAAAAGTTATTGTTCTATGATAAAGCAAAAGCATGCCCCTTAATCAGTGGATTCCATATTTATTGCTTCTCTTTCTTATGGTGAGTGTGTTCTCATCAGTATGAACACTTGCATGTGCCTGCACATACCCAGAAAACATGACAATTTAATAGTGGTTGACTGGTTATTTCTATGAAAGATAGGAATTTTTCACACCCGTGTTTATCACGGCTTTGTTCACAATAGCAAGGACTTGGAAACAACCCAAGTGCCCATCAACAAATGAATGGATAGAGAAGCTGTGGTATATTCACGCAATGGAATACTATGCTGCATTGACAAACAAGGACCTCATGCATTATTATTAAAATGGGTGACCCTGGAGGACATTATGCTCAATGAAGTATCTCAGTCACAAAAGGACAAATACTGCATGGTGCCACTATTGTAAAACAGGACTGACATCGGGGTTGGGGGAAGACTGAGAAAGATGGGTTAAATAATGTATACTGCATTGAAACAGATGAGGGAGAAAACTGTTTAGAAGGGATATGTGATTAGGTATTTTTGTTATGACAGGAGTTCAGAGTGAAGGCTGCATAGTGGAGTGGACTTGAGAACAGGGATTGTAAAACAATGAAAGAATTTTTCTTTCACTTTTCCAAGAGGGTAGTGTACTGGGGTGGGGAAGGGTTGGATAGGGAGAAAAGTGCAACAATAAATGAATGGCAATCCAAAGTCTCTGTAAATTTTCATTGAAATTAATGATAAATTAAAAAATGCTAGAAAGAGAATAATATTCATTATTAAGAAAAAGATTAGGTGGGAAAGAGATAGGAAAAAAGAAAGATAGGAATTCATAACATGATTACAAATTATCTTCATTTCTCTGTTTCCTAATTTTGGAAATATACATACATCTGACCTATAATCAGGAAAAATATTTGAATTTACATATTCAACTATTATTTCAGTTATAAACTGGGTATCCATTAATATATGTATATGAGTATATAT